TAAACTTAGAAAACTAAACAATGTATTTTTTTATTTCCAATGTAAACAGTCATATTTCTTCTGAATGACAAGGACTAATCAGACAAGAATAGCATTCAAACTGAAACAACTGCTAAACTGAATCAACTACTACATAAAATAAACACCCAAACTTCTACATACCATTACATAAGATAATTAATACTGGTAAAATTTTAAAAAATAAATGTTTTGAACATTGTAACAGAAAGGAATCAATCTTGTTAAAAAAATTATTTAAACATCTTAAGGCACGCCTCATTATTTTTTGTGAAAACAAATCAGAATAAGAAAGTACCAGTACAATCAATACCAAACATCCAGTACAAAAGCATTACACAAAAATTGGGTAGTACAAATCATGGAATAAAATGATCTGCAATCTCTATTTTTCAAAGCTTGCTGCCTACTGAAAGTAGTAAATCTGGTCACCTTAAATATAACGACACTTCCAATTTATTTTGAAACATTTAATAATAAATCTGTCTTGAATTATGTGATAACAGTGAATTCTTTTTCATTATTTCAATACTACTCATATAACATGGTCAAAATTTTTGAGATTATGTGCTCTGAAACACAACATTACTTATTATACTATCTGTTATTAACTTCATCTATAGCTCAACAAGACTGGATCCTCCTTAATAAAGAAAGGAATGACTTTTCTGTTTCTAACTTTCAACTTTCTCTAACTTAAATAATTCTTTTGGAAATAGATCAAGAAAAGCTTCATTGTAGTTACATTAAATGCTATATGTCAAGGAATGAAATGAATGCAGAAATCAATGAAAGTAAGAAAAATGACCTGAATTTATTTGTTTGTCTTATTAGCTGGTTCGAACAGAAGTCTTATTAACAGAACTTAAGTCTACAATTATTATAGATTAAGAAACATATAAATATGACATACTTGTATAGATGCTTGTGAACGAGTGATTACAGAAGTGATCATACTGGATTTCATCTGTTGCTGACAAAAATAATTCATGTTACACTTTTATGTAATTAAATTTAAATAAGCAGTTAATATTTTAAATAAAATAAGTCATAAATTTTACTTAAACAAGATTACCTAATATATTCATATTAACGTTTTGCACACCTACTTTCATTTTAATGCTACATTATTATTATATTTATCACGAATATATTTCTCTTTATATTCTTGAAATTTTATTTTAGATCTGATATGTTTGTTTTTATTACCTAATATTTCACAATAAAAAAAAAATTCCTCTTCTCTTAGAGAAAAAATTCAAATAGAATAAAATATTGAATATATTATTAATAAGCTGCAAACTTCATAATCTATATTATCATGGCACTTAGTTCTCAAAAAAAAAAAAAAAAAAAAAAAAAAAAAAAAAAAAAAAAAAAAAAAAAAAAAAAAAAAAAAAAAAAAAAAAAANGTATTAATCCTCTGACTATCCGCCATGATGATGAACTATTTTCAATGTTGTCACTGTATGACGTGGCATAAAGGCGTTTGTTGATTGGATGCGCGTTTGCAATCGTCGCGAGTAGAACAAACTTTTTGTTTCTAGTTGCGATTGCAGTCGCGCCGGTTTTCGAGGGGGGATTACCAGTTAACGGGAATAGCCGTCGCGGTTGCAGTCGCCTGCGCGGCTGGAAATCGCATAGTGTGACCAGGGCTTTAGTGTGCATTGCCGTGGCGTACCCTACTAAAACGCAGATAAAAACAAAAAATCGCATCTAAAATAGTGCAGTAGAAACCGTTCTTCTGGTTAATTTCTAATTATAAAATGGTCGATTTAAACTAACGGTAATTTATTAAAAGTTTTTTAAACAATTTTTCTTCTAAAAATGAATAATACCATTTAAAAATTTGTACGTAAAGTCTGTGAAGAAAATCAGATTTTTAATAATTTCATCTAAGTGTTCTTGACTGTAGTCGCTATGTACAATTTAGGTTCAATTAGGTTAAGGAAATTCTGTATTTTAGCCGAAAGAGGGCGATTGGCATAAAGTCCGTTCGGTTGGCGTAAGAAGAATGGCGACTGATTGTATACATGAGCGAAAAGAAAGAACGCCAACTTTCGAAGATCGTATCGTTGAAAGAAATACATCGAATCCTNTACTCTGGCCCAGGTTAGTTTAGTTTGGAATGTGTGCTGTGGTCTAACGGACATCGCTTTCTAGTTCTCTCCACTTTCTTTGTGTTACCTTCGACATTACCCTTCATTTTATCCAAACCCTGACATGACTCTACCATGAGGACACCAAGGATTTTTTTAGGTTAATTATGGGTTTGGCCAGGCCCACATTAGTACAGATGAGATGACGAGAAACAGGGCCCAACATATCTGGTATAGACCACTCATGAAATCCTGGAATTCTCAGCTCAGAGCAGCCAATTCTGTATCTGTAGAGCAGCAGGTTGATAACATTATTTGTTTTTTTTTTTTTTTTTGCAAAGTGTCTTAATTTATAACACTTTATTGTGTTAGAAGCATAAACATTATTTGTGTTTTTCATGAACTACAGAGGGCACTGCATTTTTACAAAATGGCTACTTTATCTGGGTCACGCGTAAATAGTCAACATAAAATTAATCATATATTACCATACAATATATATGCTGCTTGTAGTTATTTATCAAGAAATTTTATAGGAGAACAATTATTGCTAGTGGGACACGTCATTACATGTGGTATCAAAGAAACAAATGAGCGAGATTGTTCTATACATTTGTGCTCTGTGTTAAAAAACATTAGCTTTGACATCTGTCCCATTAGGGCCATATTTACAAGTAAGCTATGTTACCTTTTTGCTTAGGGCCTCGAGTTTTAAGAGGCCTCAAAAATTTCTACAAAAGAAAATTTAACTTCAATTTTCTACAAAATTGAAGTTAAATTTGAAGAAAATTTTTTACAAACCAACCAAATATACTTTAAATACTACACAAAATAAAAAGTAGTTAATATGTTTATGTTAATTCTTTTTATGAGTGACTTTTAAAAATGTGAAGGGTTGGTAAGGGGCCACACAGTTCAGCTTATGGCCTCAAAATGCTTAAATCCAGCCCCGTGTCCCATACAAAATTACTGGAATTTTAAACTTTAAGGAAAAATCCTTTAAAATTGACAGCATAACTTGTTCATATAAAGCTGGACAATCAGGAAACTTTTTGTCAATTCTTAACAATCAAATTCACTCTTTCTGTCGGTTATATTTATGAGCTTCTCCAAATTCTGATTTTCAAATAATCATGTTCTCAGAGAGACGAGAACTTATATCAGGTTCTCATATGGCTATGAAATTACAATTTGAAACACAATAGAAAGCTTTGCTTTTTCTATTGCTATTCATCTTTACTGTTGACAATACACAAAAATGATTCAAATGACCCATATAAAATAGTTTTGTTTTTAAACACCAGAGAGCAAGCATCTGATGAAAAATGCAAATTGCCATTTGGCCAGCAGTGAAAACATACTACAAATCTTAAATAATCAAGATATGAAAATCAATTGCAGAGAAGCAGTTTCTGAAAATATTCTAGATTCAAGAAAAAAATTAATGTAATCTCAAAAGTTTAAAATGTATCAGAGATATAAAATCTTAAAATCTCAGATGCAAAAATTAAAATTAACACCACAAACAGTGATCAACAGAAAATATATTCGTGATTATTAGGAAACATGATCATCTATACTTCTGGTATACTGTATGTGCATTGATTGAATCAACAATACCAATGCAAAAAATATAAGATCAGAAAATATAAAAGAATTTGAAGTTGTTTTTATTACTTAAAAACACAAATTTCTTTATTAAAATACAGTTCAAGAACATATTACATGTACTGTAAATATTACTGTATGCACTTTACTAATCTCAATTATACGTATATTATACAGTACAGTACATATGTTACTGTGAATGACCGATATCTGGCAAAAGTCAACATTCACACAGTCGTTTCGTATATGTACGAAATATTTGCTAAATATCATTATTTTTCACTTACGCTGGCAAATGTCGACATTCAGCATGCACTGATGGTGAATGTTGAATAAAAATATTTTTATTACATTAAGACAAAAACGCAACTTTTTAATATGTCAAAATAAGAGAAAGCTTAAGTAACAGCACATGTAAATAAACTGTTGAACCTAAAACAAACAGTACATTCTAAATCATTAAAGAAAATAATACAATAATAAACTTATGCATAAATTATGTGATTAACATTATACAATCTTATTTATTGCAACAATTTAAACTGTTGTGACCCTTTGAATTGCACAGAGTCCCTTGCTTTTACAACTGCATTTATTCGTGGAACACTTCTCTTTGCAATGGTTAAAAGCAAGGGACTCTTGTCCCTTGCTTTTACAACTGCATTTATTCGTGGAACACTTCTTTTTGCAATGACAGTGTGTATAGCCTTGCCCTCCACTTTTCAAATTAGCCGCAGCTGCTTCTCTCAGCGATATTTCTTGAGAAGAAACCTCATCTATGGAAAGTAACTTTTCTTTACAAATCACGAACTGATTTGTTAATGGTGTCTTTTATTCATATATCGCTGACACCTTACCGACGACCCCTCTCATCCTCTGCCACTCGATCTGACAAACCAATCCTCACGTCACAGGATCAAAAGAAAAAAACGCTATCCAGTGACAAAGTGAGCAGTTTCCACCAAACTGTTGCCGGAAAAAGAGGTACGACCGTGTTCTACCTCCAGCTACCCACAAAGTATTTGGCGATAGACTGTCACCTCTCTGTCGACATCAACCTCCACCAAAGCTTATCTGTGCATGTCGACATACACCAGCGATTGTTCGAATGTATATTAATATAACCAAATATTCGGTCTTTCACCGACCGATTTTGAATGTGTCGACATTCACCGGAGAATTTCGACATTCTCTAATTTCGGTATTTCACAGTAACATATACATATAATTAAGATTAGCATAATTTAAATTGAACTTACTCTGAAATTTACTTACCAACTAACAGATAAACATTCACATCTTATCGGTATTTCTTAATATAAATTACATTTATACTCGAATTATAACAATTATTTATGAATAATTTCAAGATAAAAATATAATTTTACGAGGCACACGTGCGTATTTTCAAATGTTTACTATTGCTGCATTTAAATTGAGAATGAGAAGAAAAGTTACAGAAACTTCAATAAGCGTAGTTTACAAACAAAAAAATTTTAAATCGAGAATAGATTAATTTATAATTTGAAGTACGGTTAATAATAATAATATATAATTCATTAAAATTGTTTTTATAATAAAATATTTATTATCGTTTAAACGATTTCTTTCGTGTATTCCGCATCGAGTTTTCTTAGTGTCGTGCTTCTTCCGCCATTCAAGTCAGTTTAGAAATAGTGTATTGTATTTTGCCGAGTTTTTAGTAGTTATCATAACCGGAAACTGTTTCCGAGAGAAAAAAATATAAATAAATAAATAGTCAGTTTGGTGCTCCATCATTGGGTCCCTTTAAAATCGATATTTACCTGTCCAAACTGTTCAATTTCTGATAATTATTGTTACTTTTTATCCACTGAGGGGGAGTAACGTTAGGATTCGATGTATTTTTTGAACGATACGATCTTCGAAATTTTGCGTTCATTCTTTTCGCTCAAGTATACAATCGGTCGTCATTCTTCTTACGCCAACCGAATAGAAGTTGATCACGTGATAACAGACTCTATGCCAATCGCCCTCTTTCGGATAAAATACAGAATTTCCCTAACCTAATTGAACCTAAACTGAAAATAGCGACTACAGTCAATAAAACTATTAGATGAAATTTTTAAAACTCTGATTTTCTTCACAGACTTTACATGCAAATTTTTAAAATCGTATTATTCGTTTTTGGTAGAAAAATTGTTTAAAAAATTTTTAGTAAATTACCGTTAGTTTAAATCGACCATTAAACTTTTATAATTAGAAATTAATATAAAAAATACACTTATTTTTATGATATATTTTATTTCTTCATAATGCAAATTTCTAATAGAAATGTTCTTCTTAATAATAATATGAAATTTGGTACACAGTTAAAGTACGTCGTGAAAACGCGCACTAAGAAGGGATTTTTGGAAATTCTCCCGCGGGGGAGATGGAGAGGATTAAGGCTTAACCGGAAGAACAGCTTCTACTGTACTATTTTAGATGCGATATTTTGTTTTTAATTACGTTTAGTCTTCATTGAGTACTTAGGGGTATTAAATTGATAACATTTCAGACATTGTTATAAATATTTTGATATACAGTAGAGCGTCGATTATTCGAATCAATTGGGGACTGGGTTGTTCGGAAGATCGATGTTCGGATAACCGATTGTATACGAAAAAATATATTAATTTATCCTATCTTGACATTTTTCTCCGTTGCGTGTCGCTTCGCGTTGAATTTTCGTCGATGTTAAGCCTAACGAAGACTATTGTATCGTTAAAAATTATTTTTTTATTTTGTACAAACAAAATAAATATATTGAAAAATATAAAAACAATAAAAAATTATACTTCAGAAGTTAATTTAGTATCAAAAACGTAAAATATTTGAGTAGCCCAAGACATAGCCAAAGATTGCAGCGCCACAGCACTGGCGAAAATTTAAATTTGCCGACTGTAATTCTTTCGGATGATTGACTTTCGGATAATCGACGCTCTACTGTATTTCGATTTTTTTAACCAAATGATCGAACCGTTTTAAATTCGAATTTGTTATTGCATATTGGTTCGATTATAGAACGATTGTAAACGTTCCAGAAAATTAATCAAATTAAAAACATTTCGTTTGATTCTCGGAAATTCTCATCATTCTCAGCGGTAGATGTTATATAACAATTACTATGGTTGTTGAAATACTGAATATAAATGGGGTTTGCTTGCAAAATCCTCGCGGGCAAAGCCGCGGGTAACTGCTAGTTTTTTATATGAGAACAAATATGCCAATAATAATTAAAACGTTTTTATTAAGCTGGCTACATAAATATAATAGCTAGTCATCCAAGATAAATTAGCTTTGTCAAACTTTTATATATCATGTTGCGTATTTATATCGCAATAAATATCTGATAATTAACGAACAATCATATTTTCGGTATTAATATTCGATACTTATGAATAACGATATGCTCGTTCCGATATTGCATCTCCAGTGGCGTACCGTGGGTGTTAGCCGCCTGGGGCGGAGGAAAATTTCGGCCCCCCTTATTTAGGTATTTCAGTGTAAAAGACCAAAATTCAGTTTTGTCACAGAACAAGCAATGAAAAATTCGGTGATAGTGCAGCGACCTGTTTAAAATAGTTCTATTGGATATTAGTAGTGTATATGAACGCGAATGAATTGTATAAGCAAAAAAAAAAAAAAAAACGTCAACAGGTTTCGCAGGATCGCAGGATTTCCTTGGATAAAAAAATTACTAGTTCACCCGGACGGCGAGCTGATCCCCGGACTGTCCGGACGATAGCACTATCGTAGACGCGATGCAAGTATAGATTAGGATGTTTCAAACTTTTACAAAATATTATTATTATTTATTGTGAAACTTTGCCACCCCCTAAAAAGTGCCGCCCGAGGCGGGCCGCCCCTGCCGCCCCCACTACGGTACGCCACTGTGCATCTCTATTCATGCAGATGTAATCAACACCTTATCTCCACAAACAATAACCAGTATTAGAAATTATAAAAATTATGACATCAATCTACTATATAAACTACTAGCTGTTACTCGCGGCTTTGCCCGTGCGGATTTTGCAAGCAAACCCCATTTATATTCAGTATTTCAACAACCATAGTAACTGTTATATAACACCTACCGCTGAGAATGATGAGAATTGCCGAGAATCAAACGAACTATTTTCAATATGATCAATTTTCTGGAACGTTTACAATCGTTCTATAATCGAACCAATATGAAATAACAAATTCGAATTTAAAACGGTTCGAACATTTGGTTTAAAAATTGAAATAGATAAAAATATTTATAACAATGTCTGAAATGTTATTAATTTAATACACGTAAGTACTCGATGAAGACTAAATTCTCTCCCTCTCCCGCCCGCGAGGGAATTTCGAAAAATTCCTTCTTAAGCCCTGGTCACACTATGCGATTTCTAGCCGCGCAGGCGACTGCAACTGCAACAAGCGCGAGTCGCGCGTCTTCTCGTGATCACACATTGTTCGTTGACGTTGCAACTCGGAAACACGTGGCCCTATAATCTATATATATAATATATATATATATATATATATATATATATATATATGGACATGTATGTCCCTATATTTCACTTTTTCGCCAAAACTACACATCGCACGTGAATGGTGTTTGTATGAGGTGGTAGCCCCAAGTCTCCATTCGTGCATAGGGGT